TGCTATAGTATTGCACCCCAGGTAACTGTGACTAACCAAAGTCTCACTCTTCCTGCTATGGTACCTTCTGACTATTGCCAAACTCTGTGCTTGTTGCTGGTGTAGGACTAGTGTTGCGAATGACGGTGGTCCTGGAAGCAATTAATAATTTCCTTGGAGGCTTCTTCTATTTGCTGTTCAAGGCTCTGTTATATGTCACACAAAATCACCTTATCAAAACATCTCAAAGTGATTCACAGGATTTACTTCAATGTGACTGTATTTGTAGGTGAACATGGCATCCAATTTGCACAGAGCAATATGTTAGAAATAGCTATGAATTGAATAATCCAACTTTATTGGGGATTGATGGGCAGGACACTGGCGAAACTCCCTTCTTTTTTCGAATAGTGTTATCTTTAACATTTATCTGAAAAGGCAGGGGGACCTTGATTTAATGTTTCATTGAAAGTATGGCATCTTTGACAATGCAGGTTGTAGTGTAGCTAGAACTCCTAACGAGTGAACTATCTCCTGTTCCAGTCATACATTGTCATGACCTTATTCTCCCAGAGTATCACCACAAAAACATTTACTCCAGTATAATGCTTGGGAGATGAAGGTCATGAAGGTTAGTAGAGAATTGGTGCTCGGGAAACTGTTAGCACTAAAATGTGACAAATCCCCTGGTCCGGATGGCTTGATTCTCAGGGTTTTAAAAGAGATAGCTTATGAGATAGTGGAGGCCTTGTGTCTGATCTTCCAAAATTCCTTGGATTCTGGAACAGTCCCCATGGATTGGAAGATCGCAAATGTCACACCACTTTAAAAAAGGTGGAAAGGAAAAGATGGGGAACTATAGGCCAGTTAGTCTCACATCAGTGATAGGAAAACGTTTAGAATCATTGATTAAGGATGTGGTAGTGCGGTATTTAGGGCACAATATAATTAGGCCAAGTCAACATGGCTTTACAAAAGGGAAGTCATGTTTGACAAATCTCATACAGTTTTTTGAGGATATTTCCAGTAAACTGGATAAGGGTGAATCAGTGGATGTGGTCTATTTGGACTTCCAGAAGGCATTCAATAAGGTGCCGTATAAAAGGTTAGTCCAAAAGATAAGGGCCCATGGAATTGGGGGGAGCATATTAACGTGGATTGGGGAATGGTTAACGGGTAGGAAACAAAGAGTAGGGATAAACGGGTCCTTTTCAGATTGGCGGGATGTGACTAGTGGAGTGCCATAAGGATCAGTCCTTGGGCCTCAGCTATTTACCAACTATATCAACGATCTAGATGAGGACATCGAAGTAATATATCTAAATTTGCGGATGACACAAAACTAGGAGGAAGTGTCAACACAGAGGATGACATTAAAAAAATGCAGCGAGACATAGATAGGTTAGGTGATTGGGCAGGTACCTACCTGATGAAGTATAATGTAGGGAAGTGCAAAGTCATCCACCTATGTAGCAAAAACACTAGAGCGGGTTATTTTTTAGAAGGGGAGAGATTGGAATGTGTTAGCGTCCAGAGGGACTTGGGTGTCCTTGTACACCAATCACAGAAAGTTAGTCTGCAGGTGCAGCAGCAATTAGGAAGGCGAACGGTATGTTAGCATTCATTATGAAAGGATTAGAGTATAAGAGTAGGGAAGTCTTGTGCAACTGTATAGGGCTGTGGTGAGACCACACCTGGAATACTGTGTGCAGTTTTGGTCTCCTTATTTAAGGAAGGATGTACTTGCTTTGGAGGGGGTGCAGCGTAGATTTACTCGGTTAGTACCAGGGATGGAGGGGATGAGTTTCGAGGATAGGCTGACCAATTTGGGCCTATATTCTAGTAAAATAGAATAATTAGAGGGGATCTTATAAAACCTATAAGATCATCAAAGGCCATGATAGAGTGGATAGTGGGAGATTGTTTCCCCGGTTGGAGAAACTAAAACCAGGGGTCACAACCTTAAAATCAGAGGCAGCCCTTTCGCACTGAGTTGAGGAAGAACTTCTTCACTCAAAGGATGATGACTGTATGGAACTCACTACCCCATAGGGCTGTTGACGCTCAGTCCTTGAACATATTCAAGACTGAAATAGATAGATTTCTTATTGCAAAAGGGATTAAAGGATATGGGGATAAGGCAGGGTCAGGTTATTAGCTGGAGTTAGATTAGAAGATCAGCCATGATTGAATGCGGGGCAGGCTCCAAGGGCCGAATGGCCTACTCCTGCTCCTACATGTTATGTTATGTTAATGCTCCAGAATTCCGTGCATAGCATTGAATTGTAAAGGACAATGTACAGCTACCAATGCAAGGTCAACAAGATTGTGACAATGTGCAACTGGAACCGGAGATTTCAATAGCTGAGTAAAGTGTATAATTCCCCAGGTTACTCCATCATGTTGAGAGGGTCTTGGTAAATTCAACAAACACTGAGTCATTCGTTTTTCAGAGGCTCTGTACTGAGATTTATCAACAACGACTTTGATTTATATAGTGCCCTCCACGCCGGACGGCTTCACGGTAACGGATCCCGGGACCGAGCCGGGGGAGGGGCCAGGGGGAGGAACCAGAAGAAGGGGAGGGGGCAGGGGAGGGGGAGGAGCCAGTGGGAGGGGGAAGAGCTGGGGGAGGGGGAGGAGCCAGGGGAGGAGCCAGGGGGAGAAGCCAGGGGAGGGGGAGGAGCCAGGGGGAGAGGGGGGGGAAGGTGACCAAAGGTGCGGTCAAAAAGAAAGTTCTTCATCAGAGACCTGAAAATAGGAAGGGAGGGAGCGAGGGGAAGGGAGTGAGGAAGGGAGTTTCAGAGCCTCGGGGCATTATGGCTGAAGGCACGGCTGCCGAGGGTGGAGCAGAGGACTCGGGGGACAATGAGGAGGCCAGACCCGGAGGAACAAAGGCAACGGGCACTTTTTGAGGAGAGAGGAGGTCAGAGAGGTCGGGGGTGCAGAGGAGTGGAAGGATTTGAGGACAAGGGTGAGGATCTTGAAGTCGATCCTCTCTGGGACAGGAGCCAGTGCAGTCTGGCCAGGACTGGGGGGATCGGGGAGCAGAGTTTGGGTGTGGGGGGGAGGGCCAGGACTGGGGGGATCGGGAAGCGGAGTTTGTGGGGGTGAGAATGCGGGCGGCAGAGGTTTGAATGATCTGGATTTTATGGATGGTGGTGGAGGGGAGGCCGGCGAGGAGGATGTTAGAATAGTCCAGATGGCAGGTGACAAAAGGTATGGACCAGGGTTTCAGCGGCTTTCAGAGAGAGGTATTGGCAGAGACGGGCGATACGTCAAAGGTGGAAGAAAGCGGTGCTGGTGAGGGACCGGATGTGGGGAGGAAGGATAATTGAGGGTCGAACCTGACACCTAGGTTGCCAGCAAGCTTCATGGGGTAAATGGAAAGTACAATGTAATGTACAATTATATTCTATATGACCATAGATTACACAAATATTATACTTGTGAGTTATGAGTCATTACTGAACCATTATATTTAAATCAATACCACATACTTGCCAGTACACATCATCAATGTAGTTTGTTTATCACAGAAGAAAAAAAACTGCGCATCATTATGACTGTGCTGATTTGATTCTGATTCTGATTTACATCCGAAAGAAAGTGAAAACATGCTCCATTGAAATACCTAATGTTTTGTTTCTCTCCTCCCCCTCCCCCCACTGGTTTATTAGTCAATTATCTAAATGCAGTTTTCCAGTTCTCTCTGGTGCTTAATTACTGCAACTACAAAAGTCATTTTAACTCGTTGCAATAAATAGCACATTTTCAAAGTGAAAATAATTAGCAGCACATCCGATGAACAAAGGAAGTCATGAACAATTTTCTTTATCTCTATAGCATCTGCAATACTGGAGAAATGATCAACACAGACAGAACTCAACATCATTAAGATATTTTCTTGCTATTTTGATTTGTTTCTAGTTGCTCCCTTTTATTTATCAAGCTAGCGGTGCAGTGATACATTGGGTCACTACTCGAACCTCCTATGCAGTGGATTTGTAGGTCATTGATGTGGACCCATAATTCTTCCTATCTTAAGTTTTAATCTCATTTTTGCTGTTTGGAAACACTACAAAGACAGTTCATTGCAAGAAAGCAGGAAGACATTATAGGAGTACCATTACAAGGGTTATTGGGTGGAGATGACCTGCCTGGCTTCTCAGCTTGTGATGGTTTATGGTATGCAGAGATCAGGGAGGATAGTGGGAAATAGTAAACTATATGAATTATGAAAAAAGTGAAGACTAAAGAAACAGAAGATTTATTTGCATCATTTAGCTAACTGCAGAAATTCATACCATTATCAAATTTAAGAAATGTAAGAAGATACAGCAAAACTCACAGAAGTCTTATCTTTATATCGCCTAAACCATATATCCACACGAGTCCCATTCAGTTTCCTATCAAAACCATTTAGATTTCTTTGCACCAGTCATATTAATCATCCTCTAACTCGTAATACCGCCCTGCCCTCCATTACTCCCGCACTTAGCGGCTGCACTTAATTGCAGGATTTGTAGTCTTGACCCATTACCACATCTGCAGAAGAACTTCATTTCTCACGATACTATTCGATTCCTGCAGTTGCCAGTAGTTTGTCACTGCAGCCGGTAAGTGAGTATGTGGTGACGGGTCAAGACTACATTTCCCGCGATTCAATGCATCTAGACCCATCGCCGCATTCAATACTACGGCTGGATTGCATTATGCTTGGGCAGTATAGATTAGTGATTAAATTAGATTTTATGATTTATACACCTTTGTCTGCAACTTCGACAAGTCATGTTAAATATTATAGTCCCAACTGATGTGACTTATGTGAGTTTTACTGTATTTCACCTGTTGAATACGAATGAGAGAAACTCCAGCTATGAGTCTTAATACAACAGATCAACTCCAAAATATGTGAATAAGCATGATGATTGATTATCACTTTCTGTGAGCCATGTTTAAGTTCAAACTAGACAGCAAGCAGCAATAATTTACATTGAATAAGAGAAGTATAAACTTACTTGGAACTCGGTTAATGGCTCTTAGTGGTCTGAGAACCCGGACAGTTCGGATTGCGGAGAGACTAACATTGTGTCCATCCAGTGAATATTCCAGCATCCTAGAAATACAGAAATTAAAAGTAATAAACCATGAACAATCTGCATTTTTTTCAGAAACAATTCACACTATTATTCAATATCATTAAGCGTTTTTGTTAATTGTGTATTAAGCAATCAATTCTGGGTTTGGTCAGGTGGATATAATGATCGTTTCAACTTCTGTGTATTTCTATTCAATATTCACTGTGGAAAAGCAATTCATTTTTCATTAAAATGTTCTGTTGCAACTGTGCTTCCACTTTAGCCCACTCAGGATGGAAGATTACCCACTTATTGTGTCAATGTTACAACAATTAATACTACGCTCAACCCATGTTGTTTTCAATAACCTTTTAAAACAAAATTAGAGGGTTCTTACATGCTGCTCATGTACAATATTCAAAACACACATACTGATTCAATATTTTTTCTATTCAGTTTTATTGCAATGCAATAATGACTTTTCATTATGAGCATGTCACTGTAATGTTTCAAATGGATTTTGTAATCACATCAATCTCTGTAAGAGCAAGAAACAATTCATGTCATAGGACGTCAACAAAGTCACTTTCGTTCCAGTTTATTGCAAATAAATACATTTAAGTGCTGTTTTAATAGTGAAGCATTTCCTTAATTAAAAACAAATAACAATAATTGTTTTCATAACTCCCAAGCTGCCTGAAGTTACAAATAATAATTTATTAGCTCGCTGTGATTAATTTTCCCTCTGAAGCAGCGGTGCTACAGTTGTCACTAACTATAACAATGATGTGCAAAATGTGTTGTGTAATCACTCATGTGTTTTTTGGTAAAAATACAAAACCAGTGCAGAGGTTGCACAATGTAAGATAGTGAACACCTCCCACCCCAGCTCAGCGTCAAGCTCTGCCTCTGCTAAGCCCTCCGAGACGTTACCCCACGTGTAGGGCAATATATAAGTTGTTGTAGGTTCTCCAAATTTGATGCTGCAGATGTTGAGATTGTTTTTGCAACTGATGACAACAGTTCCAAGAGCAAAGTTGGCAAAACAATGTGGGTGTAGTGGGGGAGAGAAAGAGGCTTTTAAGAATTAGACATACTGCCATATTGTATCTGCTGTGTTTCCTTCCCTCTCAATCCCTCATACCTCATTATGATTCTTTAGATAACAAATTGTCCAGGTTCCTGAATTGGCTATAACAATTTGAGTAACTTGAAAGGTCAGTGCGATGTACTCAAAATCAGGAGGTAAATCACATCCCTGTTATCAGCGGCTTTCTCATGCCTAATTCATTCTGATAGCAAAATCAATTTGACACAAAAATCATAGTTATAAAGCTGTCAAAAATCACACTCTGTTTTGTCTACCATAACTCCAGCAAAAGGTATCTAATTAAGTGTCTTCACTCTGGAGAAGCTTTCCAACCAACTCCAATATAACAGCTGGAGCCAAGACAGTGCCAATGTATGTCATTTGAGATGTCTGTCCTCCCTCCACCCTCCCCACCCAGCAGTCACAAAGAACCCAAGGCTTAATGTTGACCCTATTTGGGTACTAAGTAAAAGAAAACATGCAATTTGATTTAATTGATTCAACATGACAGTACATTGAAATCAGTCCATCTCCAGACCAATAAGAACCTCAAATCTCGTAGATTAATAGTTATGAATAATGGTGAATAGATTTCAGTGTATACTCCTGGACAAAATGGAATCCACATATTAAATTTAAGAACATAAGGAAACAGGAAAAGGACGAGGCCACTCAGCTCATTTAGCCTGTACCATTATTTAATTTGATTTTGGCAGTTTTTGTGATCTTGTAGTCTTGCCCTTTCTCCATACCCCTTTCTCTCTACTACCCATCTCTTTTAAACAACGCTATTGATTTTGTCTCTAAGGCTTCCTGGGCAGAGAATGCCACATCTTCACCTCATTACTTACCATTTGTAAATACAGATTTCTATGTATACAGTAACACCAGGCACTTGTGCTGCCACTGTGTACATAGACATCTGTATTTAGATGTTGCGTGTAGGCACATGTTCATTGAGATCCTAAGTTTTAAGGCAAACAGGAGATGTTATTGTTAACTCACAAGTAACCCAAAAGAAAACAGAAAACAAGTGGATCAAATATAAAAGAAAATTCTAAACACTATTAAGCATGGTGATGGGTGTCTGACACATGCTGAAACCCATCAATATGCTTAAGAGTATCCAAACCAAACTGAGAATTCCATACATCCCATGGAAATCCCAGAGATAGATTGTTGGAATGGAATGTGCTCCCTCTCCCTGGAGGGACGCATCCTGCTGACATGTATTAGGCGCAGGTTGACAGGAGCCAATGCTTGGGGACCCCAGAGTGTGCATTGGGATACTGCTGGAATCTAACCAGCTAAAACTGCATAGCTTAGCATTGGTAGCACTCTCTGGAAAGCTTTCACACTGCTTGTCCAGCTAGGACCACCCTACCCGATAGGGCTTTGGCTTGCATTTTAAACTAAATTTTGTTTATTCTACAAACATCTACTAACCCTGCCATTACAATGAAGAAGTCCAGACGATTCCAAGTATCTCCTAGGTAACATTTCTGTCCGTATATCCCAAGAGCTATCATCTTAATGACCATTTCCACAGCAAAGAAGGCAAAAATAAAGTCATCGAATGCCTGAGGATACAGAATATCAAGAAGAGGTTTTTTTAAAAAACAATGCAAATTCTGTTTCTTATGCTGCCAATTTAACATGATTAATATAATCATTTTCCTTCCGAGACAACATAATAAAATCATTAAAAACAAATGTAGGCCCATAGTTACTTTGTCACATTTTAAATTTATCCAAATGCTTTGCTCTGTAGGCAGATTATTTTATATTTTAATTTATTTTTTGTTAGTTTCTGACACATATAGAATCCCATCACTATGTTTGATTATACCAATACATTTAGCAACATTCTATATCTGACAATGCAGACATTATAAGCAAACAGTAAATATATTTTTATTGTTTTATTCTGTTACGTCAAAACAGGACATCTTACCTTAAGTATGGTACATCGATCAGACCTACATGCCACATCTTCACATGGCTGGAACATTCCCAGTGTAACGCAGTTCAAAAGGATGACCAACATACTGACGTGCTCAAACCACGTAAATTGGTGAATTAAGGAAAACCACAAAGTGTATAGAAGTATAAAGTATAAAGCATGAGGAACAGCAAGTAAGTTAAATGAAGTTAGATATATGCTTCCGACATCCATTCCAACATGCTTTGTGAACAATTTTGAATAGTGAAAAGTGCATTGGCCTTACAATCTTAGTAACTTTAAAATTTAAAATTACGATTGATTGGTAACATTTTATAATAATCTTTGCATTTGGTAATCACACCTTATCAGGATTTTACTGTGAATTGTTAGGCCAATACAGCAGCCAATTTGCACTGCAGTTGTGCTTTGTGAAGACATCAGTTACAAATAAAATTCTGTAACAATATTTTAAAGCTCTCTTTTACACAATTCAAGATCATATTAATGCATGGTTAAAATATAGCCTTAGGTATTGCAGAGAAAATTGTATAGATGTGAAAGCATGAAAGGGTTTTCCAATACAAAATCAAAACAAAAGTCAAATATTGAAACATATAAGATTCTTAAAGGGCTGATAAAGCAGACACTGAGGGTCTGTTTCCCCCAATAGGAGAATCTATAACCAGGGGTCACAGACTTAAAATTAAGGGTCAGCCTTTTAGAACAGAGTTGAGGAAACATTTCTTCACTCAGAGGGCAGTGAATTTATGGAATTCACTACCTCAGAAGGCTGTAGATGCTCAGTTCTTGAACATCTTCAATGCTGAGACTGAGAGATTTTTTAAAAAACAGAGGGATTAGGGGATATGGGGAGAGGGCAGGTAATTAGAGTTAGGTCAGAAGATCAGCTGTGATCTTATCTAATGGTGGGGCACAGGCTCGAGAGGCCGAATGGCCTACTCCTGCTCCTAATTCTTATTACCAACGCAGCCTCAATCAGACTGAAGGCCATTCATTCTCCACCTCCGCTGCCTCCCTGGAAAAACTGTTCTACACAGCTCACTCCAATCTCTACTGAGTAGTTAAACTTCCTGCTTAGATTTAAGCACAACCTTAAATTACTCCTGTCAACTATTGAGCAAAATTGATTAACAATTTTGCCAAATATGTCTTACGAGACTGGATGGATTACCCTGCTCTATTGTAGGCTGCAATTTAGAAATCAAAGTGTAGGTGGTTTCATTTTTTGTATACATTCGTATCAAGTAAGTCAAACTTTTCATTTGCATGTACTTTAGCATAAAAGACAGATTTCTTGTTGCATTGTGTGTTGTGTTTGGTATCCAGCAGCCCGGCAATTTAAACCCTTCTGAAATGGATCTTAATGGTTTTGTTCCTCTCTATGGATTTCAATGAACTTGTAACCAATGTCACTTCTACATTCATGGCAATAAAACCTTTTTTTACAGGAGTTCATTGCAGAATCTGAGGTATAAAACCACTCGTTCAAATGGTACGAAAATTCAATGATCAGGAACAACAGACAATCTTACAACAAGGAAATGACATTAGGGCCCAGGTGGTAAGTACATCTTAAATGCACCGAACATGAGCAAAATAAATACAGCCCTGAAAATGTTCACTTCAATATTTCATTCAATGTACTAAATCTAGTTTCATACACCTGGTGTCAACCTGGCTCAGGTGGTAGCACTCTCACCTTTGAGACAGGTTGAAGCCACCAATAGGATTTTGAGCCCATGAGAATAAGGCTGGCAGTCTAGTAGTGATGCCCAACATGCCATTTTTTAATTGAGACAGAGGTTCCATCACCCTATCCAGGTGGATGTTAAAGATCCCACGCATTATTCAAAACAAGAAGGGAGTTTCCACTAATCGTCTGACCACTAAATCACCAGATTTAAAAAAAGGCTCAACAACTTTATAATTTGTGTACATAATTCAGATGCAGCCACTACAATTTACAGAAAACTGTAAATTGAGTTGTTTTTTAAATGAGCCCTGGCCTCAACTCTTCTTCCTGGCAACCTGTTCCAGTCATTAATTACCCTTTTGGTGAAGAAAAAAACTTTGTAGTGTCTTTCCTGAAATTGCCCTTTGCAACTCTAAACTTATGTCTGCTTGTTCTACTATCTTGATGCATCCTAAAGTACTATTGTGGGTTTATTGTGGAGTCCTGTAGCTCAGTGGTTAGAGCACTCGCTTTGCAAGCGAGAGACCTGAGTTCAATTCCAGGCAGAGGGCGAAACCTTGGGCAAGTTTCCTTACTCCACACGCCTAATAATAATCCCTCCAAAAAAAAAAAAAAAACAATAATAAATTGGTCATTTTCAATCTACGACTGTTTGTGGGACATTGCTGTGCGCAATTGGCTGCCGCGTTCGCCCACAAATATACAGTCAATTCACTTTACAGTGTGTTCTGTGAAGCGCTTTGGGACGTCCTCCCGACGTGAAAAGCGCTATATCAAATGCAAGGATTATTATTATTATTATTATTATTTATGTTTTCAATCCCACATATGATTGCATACACTTCTTTCAAGACCAAAGAACCCTATCTTATCTAATCTCAGAATGTGCATTTAGTCTTCCAAGAACCCTTAATCTAAATCAAAATGATTATACTGTTCTTCTCAAACTCCTGCAAATGAAAATAAGGGTTCTATTTTATTATTGAGTTATTTAGTCAATGTTAAGACAAAGATTTTAATAAACATAAATTAAATACAAATCTAACAAAGCAACTTCTATTGCCAACAAAATAATGTTTTGTACAGGTGGCAATAATTTACAAATAAAGTCAGCATTTTGTTTATGCAGTCCATCATCTTGGAAAGGTTTAAAACATTGTATTATTTCTCTAGTCATACCATTATCATTTAGAAACTTACAGGCGCTGAAGATCCAACAAGATATTGGTTCTGTCACATCTCTTTGATAGATTAACTTGCTTTGAATTCCTAAAAGATGAGATAAGAGCACCAAGTTCAAATGACAAGGAAAAAATCCTTAAATTGCTATAACAGAACATTTGGCCAAACTCGTCCATGTTAGTGTTTATATGCCACATGGGCCTCCAACCCTCAACTTGGAGTCCTGTAGCTCAGTGGTTAGAGCACTCACTTTGCAAGCGAGAGACCTGAGTTCAATTCCAGGCAGAAGGTGAAACCTTGGGCAAGTTTCCTTACTCCATACAGAGCCTAACAATAATCCCTTCAAAACCAAAAACAATAATAGATTGGTCATTTTCAATCTACGACTGTTTGTGGGACATTGCTGTGCGCAATTGGCTGCCGTGTTCGCCCACAAATATACAATCAATTCACTTTACAGTGTGTTCTGTGAAGCGCTTTGGGACGTCCTCCTAACGTGAAAAGTGCTATATCAAATGCAAGGATTATTATTATTATTATCCTTTAAAACCCCACATCCATGCCATGACCATTCTTCTTTCTCCCACTTCCACAATATTACCTGCCTCTGCCACCATCTCTCCCCTCATGATGGTATGATGATGCAGAATTGCAGAAAATTCTTGAATTCAGTCTTAATTTGAGAGATTGTCCTTTTGAAACATTTGCAACAAAGTAACAAGAGATCTTACAGGCTAAGACGAGGTGAAATTTCCATCTTCCTGACTCTACGCTGGAAGTCGAAATAAGGAAACCACACTTACTATTTCCTATTGTAAGTTTCATCACTTTCTTGTTAAATAATTGTCTAACTTGTAATTTCCCAACAGAAATATACTGATGTCTTTGGTTGTATCTATTCAGTGAATCAATTCACAAATTATTGCTTTTAATAAAGAGTGTCCTCTTCCATTACAGTAAGATATTAACTTAGATAATAATAATAATAATCCTTGCATTTGATATAGCGCTTTTCACGTCGGGAGGACGTCCCAAAGCGCTTCACAGAACACACTGTAAAGTGAATTGACTGTATATTTGTGGGCGAATGCGGCAGCCAATTGCGCACAGCAATGTCCCACAAACAGTCGTAGATTGAAAATGACCATTTTTATTATTGTTTTTGGTTTTGGAGGGATTATTATTAGGCTCTGTGTGGAGTAAGGAAACTTGCCCAAGATTTCGCCCTGACCTGCCGGGGATTGAACTCAGGTCTCTCACTTGCAAAGTGAGTGTTCTAACCACTGAGCTACAGGACTCCACTGCCCCCATGCTATCAGCAATTAATTTCCACGACATAATATGAATATTAATAAACCTCATGAATTAACTTTTTACCTCCATGACTATTCTGTTGACCTTTAAAACAGTTTTAATGACTGAAGATACTAAAACTATGTAGTACTGGTATTCATATGTTCTTCACAATACATTTACAGGGATGAAAAGGTTGGGGAGAGTGTAGACTTTTTGCTTTCTGTTTAAAATAAAGTGTGATGATGGATTCTAAATATGATTCCAGGCAATGTCATTTCCAAGGAACGGAGTCCTGAAGACTCACTTTCTGTCTCACATTCCTCCCACCCCCCTCCCTGTCATCTCTCTGATACACTCTGTGTTTCTCTCAGTCTCTCTCACAGTCTCTGTCTCTCAGTCTCTCTCTTAATCTGGAAACTGTCGAGTTTTGTTATTGTCAAGATGACTTCTAACATGTGGAGAAGATGTGGCTTACAAAATGCCTCCTGTTCCTCGTATATATTAATGCCCTGGATTCGCAGACCCAGTGTAAGATTTTGTTCAATTTACAGATGACCCCAGGTTGCGGGAACTGTGGAGTCCGAGGAGGCTGCAAACAAGGAGAGCTGCATAGCGTATGCACATGGGATAATAACTAGCAAATGAAGTTTTATACGTAAATGCAAGGTACTATATATAGGATCCAAGAATAGAAACACAAGTAATCTATGGTTGGGACTGAACTTGCCAAGGGGAGAGGTGAAAGAGGTCTAGGGGCGTTAGTTGATTCCTCGCTCACTATATCAAAACGGTGTGAGGCAGTAATAAAAGAGGATGCTGGGCTATATTGCTGAAACAGTTGAGTTTCATTCTCATGCTGGTTAGAGGGGACTTCACAGAGATGTACAAAATTTTAAATTGGATTGAAAAA